ATTATAATGGTCTTATCTCTATACAATGATTAATTTGACTTACATGTGTAGTAACTGCATTGTTCAATTTAATTTATAGTTCTAAAATTTATTCACAGTTACATTTTTGTAGTTTCTCTGAGCTAAGAAACAAAGTATAGGTATTTTTAATTACTTTTTGGATTATTTAATTTAAAAACATCAAGTTAAGCTAGCTAAATAAAACAATATATTATATTAAGTAAATTTAATAACTGTTTAATATAAATGCCTCAACAAATGCAATGTCTCATTAAAAATATTTTCTTTGGGAAATAATTATATGCATATGCATAAAATATAAAAATCATTATTTTTGTGTTGCTCAATTGCAAAATTTAAAACAATACCGTATACATTTACATCTTAAATACAACCATTCTTTATAATCTTCCAGGTACAGACGATACTTTTTAAATTAAATTATTGCTGTGTACAAGGTATAAAGAAGCTTGTAATATTTCATTTATACCATATATACACCTGCGTTGTAGTGCCCTGATCCAAATTCATTTTATTTTATACAAAAACATTAATATTTTTAATTATAAGTAGGTAGAAAAACTGGAAATAACCTGTTGTTTTTGGATATCAAGTTTTTCATTTAGCACCGTTTCTTGAAATAAGTGTAGTTATTATATCATATTTCTAATCAAATTATTTGCGTAATATAATGCATATAATTGTATAGTGATATGGAACATCAGCTTCTATTATTTAGAGTATGGACTATAAGCGATAATAATTTGAAAAACTATCACCATGAGCTACCCAATAAGTATATATGAAACATGTTTCTTGATTATTGCATCAGGTTAGTGCCTTAACTTGTGTAACTGATTTAGGATAATTTAGGCCATTAACTGATGAAGAACAACAAAAAATGTCAAACATATTTTTCTACCTTCATAGAAACTTGTCTGTTCTAGCGTTTGTTATCTTTTTCATATTTCAAGAGCGTCACATACTCTTTCAGTATTGAAGTAAGACACGTACACGCAAGCAAACACACTAACGTTCACCGTGAAAACTTTAAATACACTCGAACGCTTAACAAAAAAAAATTAACGAACGCCTTACAATCTATATATGGCAAAATCATAAACATTAAACAAGGCACGTGTTTAAATAGAACTGCTAGAGTTAAATTGCGAAAGCATATGACACTGTGTTTCCAATCGCTGTACATTGGCGATTAAATAGGAATTTTCTACATAAAGGTCTTTAACAAGCATATCTGTCTTCGACAATCTTTCCGATTGTTCATTACATACACGAATTTGATTTTCTAATTTTTCTTGAGTCTTACGAAGGAAAAACTGAAGTTCTGCCTTTTCTCCTCTGAACTGTTGCCATGAGCCTAATAATAAAAATTTAAATTAAACGAAAAATATTTTTGTAAAGTTGTGGATTGATGAAGAAAGAAGTTTAAAGGGTATAACTTTACGAGGGTGGATTGATAAGTTTCCGGCCTGACCAAGAAAAACAAGGTTTTTAAAAATTTTTTTTTTTTATTTCTCAACATAATCTCCTCCAAGGCTGATACATTTCTCATAGCGGTGTTCCAGTCTATTAATGCCATCTCTATAGACTGATTCGTCAAGCTCCTCAAAATAACCATTTACAGCTTCGATTACTTCTTCATTGTCCGCAAATCTCTTACCGCCAAGCCATTTTTTGAGATTAGGGAACAGAAAATAGTCACTCGGGGCTAGGTCTGGAGAGTAAGGAGGGTGCGGCATCAATTCAAACTTTAGATCGTTGATTTTAGCCGTCGCAACGATTGACGTGTGCGCTGGTGCGTTATCGTGATGAAACAAGATTTTTTTCTTCGCCAGATGAGGTCGTTTAATTTTCACCTCGTGGCTCAAACGTTGCAATAAGTCTGCGTAGTATTGACCAGTGATAGTATTACCCTTTGCAAGGTAATCAATGTATATAATACCTCTTGCATCCCAAAAAACAGTAGCCATAACCTTGTTCGCCGAAAAAATTGTTTTTGCCTTCTTTGGAGTTGGTTCCCCTGGTCCAATCCACTGTTTAGACTGTTCTTTGGTTTCAGGAGTGTAGTGGTGGACCCACGTTTCGTCAACGGTTACGAATCGACGCAAAAATTCGCTTGGATTACGCTTATACAATGACAAATTTGCGGTAGAAATGTTTTTTCGAATCAATTTTTGGTCGACTGTTAGCAAACGCGGCACCCATCTTGCACAGAGCTTTTCCATATGCAAATGTTGGTGCAAAATATGTTGCACACGTTCATATGACATCTTACAGGTCTCAGCTATCTCACGCACTTTCAATCTGCGGTCTCCCAGCACTATTTGATGAATTTTTTCGATCATATCTGGAGTTGTGACCTCAACGGGGCGTCCTGAGCGAGGCCCATCAGAGGTGCTCACACGACCCTTTTTAAACTCGGAAACCCACTGCTTAACGGTTGAATATGACGGGGAGGATGTCCCCAGTGTTGAGTCCATCTCTTTTTTTATTTCCTTCGGCGTTAACCCCTTCAAATAAAAGTATTTGATGACAGCACGATTTTCCTGCTTTTCCATTTTTACGAAAACCACAGAGGCGTCTTGTTCAGCGTGCTGTCAAACCTACACTAGCAAGGAGATCGGGCTGAAACTATAGCTACAAGCTATCCAAGGATGGTACTATAGAATGTCACCTCAAGGTAGGCCTAGTGGCGTCATCTCTTGGTTAGGCCGGAAACTTATCAATCCACCCTCGTATAATCACGCAAAATTGTTTTTCAAATAAAACCCCTGTCACTTTTAATTCATTGGTTTCCCTCTTTTATACACAATTTTTTTAAATTAAAGCTGTGAATCAATGATTATCTATTCGATGAGAATGTGATTAAAGAGGAGGTTACACGGTTATGCCCTTTTCTCATTGATTTATACTTACTCTGTAAAACTTGTTCTGCATGACAATGTTGCTGTTTTAGAACTAACTGTAGATGTTTACATCTCTGTTCTAAATGATGTAATCGGTTATTCAAACTTTGAAACATGCTAATTGGCACAACTACAGTCTGTTCTTCTGTACTATTTCCGCAGCATCTATTATTACAATCTCCTCTATTCGAATTAACTTTCTTACAAAGACGTTGTAAATAATTTCGATCGTGCTTTCGGAATCGCCGTTGTCGATTATTAATTTTGTCAGTTAAAGGAAGCGTCGACTCTGTAGATGTTGAGGGTTGATTTTCCTCGGATGTCTGTAAATTTTGTGAACATAAAGAATTCATTGAATTATTTACTAAAGTCTTCTTAGGATTATCAGAAAACGCTTCTGGTGGGGACGGTAAATCAAAACCTGTGCTAGTAGGAAATAAGTCCGTTTTTTCCACTATACAAGACGTAAGAAAAGTTTGTAACTTTTCAGGTATTTTCCCGGAACTAACTTGAACTGAAATATCAAAAGCTTCTTTCTTTTCTTTTTTGAGCGAGTCGATTTCGTGTTGTAAATAAGATATTTGTTTTTCTTGATCAGTCATTTTCTCCTCTGAATGAGCTTTATAATCCTCAAATTCACGTTCAAGATCAATAAATTGTGTTTCGAGATTATTTTCTTCAATAGGAGGTAAACCATATTCCGATTCGCTCGTTGCAAATTGTAATTCATATTCCGTCATTTTATTTATTAGTTCTTGTAATTTTTCACTACTCTGGTTTTGTTCATCTTCAAATATTCTTCTTTCTTCGTCCAATTTTTGGGACCAATATTCTTCACAACGTTCATATTCTGTACGAAGAAGTTCTACACAATTTTCTAGTTCGCTACATGTTGAACGAAGTTCTTTGTTTTCTTCTTGGCATTTACGTAATTCTTCTTGCAGATCTTTAAAGTCATCGGTTTGATTAGTTTCTTGATCGGTTGATAATGATAATTTATTTAGTTCTTCGTTTAACGTTGAGGCGATTTCCAATGGTGCTGTTGAGTTTTGATGGTTTTTGTTGTCCAACATTTTACGAATATTATTCTTAGTGAAATCGATGGCTTTTTCAAGTTCTTTACAATGTTTCATCATGCAGCTTAGGTTGCTTTCAGTGGATTTACAGGATTCCTAAGTTGATTTAAATAATTTAGTATTTTACAAGTTATCATGGATATTAACTAATTTAAAGAAAAAGAGTATAAAAATTGAAGTATTCATTTATATTGTTACATGCAAATTAACTGTTTCTTTTCTATAAAAATCGTATCAAGCAGCTAAACAATATGTAGTTTCACAACAAACCATGCAATCATCAGTAGCTTCTCTGCAGTATTAATTAAAAATAATAAAAAAAAAAACAGAGCTTTATTTAAATGCATTTATTGGCAAGAAATACATAACAAAATACTACGGAGAAGCTAACAGAATGATAGCACTAGAGCCTCTTTTCTTTGAAAAATTAGTAATACTGAAATATTAATCTGATATTTTATCACAGACCTGCCACATTCTTTAGCTTCTCCCATACAAAATAAATAGCAAAATAATACTGATCTAGCTCATAGTGCAACCATTACAAATAAACTCTACTAACAAAAAATAGAAATAAAACGCAATATAGCAACTGAAAACACCAATAATAAAGCAAATAATAATAATTTATCTATTTTAAAATCAATGAATAAAAATTAATCTTATCTAATGTCATAAAGATAACCCAAATCACTCAAGTTCATTTTACGTGCATCACTTCAACTTACCGGCGCGTTTATGGGCGGTTTAAAATTATCGGGAATGGAGATCGAATGTTTCTTTAGTATGTCTTCCAAAAAGGAAATTCTGGAAAGCATACTTTGCATTTCTTCGCTATCAGTTCCAGATGAAGATGAGAGACTCAGACCATCTAGACCACTTTCATTTAATCCAGTTTGAACAACCAAAAGTTCCTCTTCTTTCTGGTATTTTCGAACTTTTCCTAGACGTGGACTTCCTTCATCTAAACAAAAATAAATAGTCTTTTTTAATAAACTTTTGTAAACTTTACCAGCTTCAATGTTTTATTAATTTAGATAGAATTAATAATTAATGAATGTGAACATATGAGTTCATTTTTTCTGGGAGAACTAAGACATGCTAATGACTTACATAAACCAAGTGGATTAAACTCCTTAGTTGGGGATTCTTCATTTCTTCTTTTAGAGCCAGCTCCAATTCCTTCTAGAACATTGGAAATGTTATCTTTAGCGACATCGTCCACCTCATCAAAGATTAAAGAATTGTTTCCCTTTGATTTTGTTAAAGAAATTTGTCTCGATAGTTGTTCAATTTCAGCTACCATTTCATCATTTTTATCTCTCAATTCTGCGTTTTCCATTTGTAGGGTTGATAGTTTAGATAGAAGTTGCTCCACATGTAGTTGTTTATTCTCAAGTTCTCGGCAATTTTCTTTCTCTGATTCTAGAAAACTTATATGCTCCGCCAATTCAAGTTTTTCCTGTTTAAGTTCAGAAATGTGGTTATTCAGGACCTGATTTTCCTTTTCAATAGTTGAGGAATAAGTTTGACAAAGACTGAGTTCTTCTCTCAAACGCGCTTCTTCATGTTCGATACTCTTTATTTTTTGTTGAAGGCTTTGGTTTAGCTGTGTCATTTGTTCTTTTTCAGATATAAATTGATCAGTAACTTCTTTAATAATATCCGAATGTTTTTGTTCCAATAGTCTGACATGATTCTGAGTGTTTTTCTCCATACGAGCGTGATTATCGTCAACTTCTTGAGCTAAGAGACTTGCCCTGTTATTAGCTTCCATAACGTCAGATTTCAATTTCTCTCTTTCAGCATGCATTTGCTCTAAAATATTTCTTAAACTACGAATTTCTGATTGATATAATGTCAATACTGCTTGTAAAAGGGTGACATGAAGGTAAGTGTAACCAGATCTTGAGTTTCCCATGCTTTTGATTTCCTTTTCTAAAATCATAGCCAAATCGGAAACTTTAATCTGGCAATCATCAAATCCTAGATCCTGTATGAGTTTTTTTGGCGAAGGAATTCCAGCATTGTCCCACATCTCTATAACAAGATCAGAGTGTACAAAACCAGTTGCATTAGGACCAAGCGTTATGTGCTGTATATTTTCAGGATCAGTAACTTCAGGGTCGTCTTTTAGACATTGCACTGTATTGATTGGTTTGCTTATGCTGGTTGCAGGTCCTAGGATGTCTGCCCATGTATCATCTTCTTGTAAAACGTTTAAGAGTTCTTGAAAACTGATCCTTTGGTTAATGTCAAAATTGCTTCTGAGAGATAATTGTCTCAATACTCCTTTTGCCAATCTTTCCATTCCTATTGAGTTACAAACAAGAAGCAACTCATTTTTATTTAAGTAGCCATCTTTTCCTACACCAAGTTTCTTCCATGCTTCACGAAGCATTTCCTCTGTACATAGAAATTCTTGATCGTTATTAGCATTATTAAAAACAGGACTGTTAAGTTGAAAACTGCGATTATAATTTCCCGGTAAAGAAGTACATCTTTTCAATTTACTGTTAGTTTTGCGTTTCTTACTGTGTAGAACATCACCATGAGAACTTGATTTTTGTACTGGAATGTTCACAGTGGAATTCTAAGATTAAAATAATGTATTAGTAATTTTTTGAGTAAGTATTGTAATTTAATTTCAATTATTAATGTTAATTGTCTGTGGGATTGATTGCAGTTAAATGAGATTAAACTGCTGAATATATAAGGAATTTGTGTCAACAGTGTTGTTTCTGAAATTTTTAAATTACTTCAAACTCCATCTGGCAGAATTATTCTATAAAATAAAATTTAATTTCATAACTTACAGCACTGTCCATAGTGTTATTCATCAGGTTTTCATTTTCATCCTCCTCTTCAATTTTTGGCCTGGTACGTCGACCATATTTTTTGCTACCATACACATATTTAGGTGATATTTCACGATCAGGAGACTGCTTGTCATTTTCACTTTCTTCACTACCATTTTCTTCTGAACAGTTCTGAATTTTACCCAGAAGTGTTAAAAGGCCACTTTTAAAATCAGTGAAAGTTACTCTATGTTTCTTTTTCTCTTTTAACAATTGTTGTATAAGTTCTGAAGCTTGGTCCTCTAAATGCAAAGATTGACAAAGTTGAGTAAGGCCTCTTTCATCTAAAGTTCCACAGTTTTCGTAATCATAACTCTCGAAAACAGTAAACAATTGTTTTTCATAAGGATCTAAAGACTGACAATCCATATTTTATAGTTTTCCTGCAATGAGGTCATGTCGAGAATGTCAATAATGTAATAATTATTAAGAATTAAAGTTCTTACCTTAAATAGTTTTTAAAAATTACTTTTTAATTGAATCGTTTATCCACCTACCAATGCAGAAAAGATATTAAGCATTTCGATTTGATGAAATAAGCACAACAAAAACACTAATACAAAATATCCGTTTTGGTTTACTGCAAAGTGAAGGACTTATTGGATTGACGATTGAAGGTGTGAATTGTAACGGTATACGGTATCAACCGCAGAATGAGAAGTTGACAAAAGCAAAACTATTTCATCAAATAAATCCCCCACTGTATTCATGATAATTTACTTACTTCCAAATATGATTGATCATTAATATTAACGTTTTAGTAAAAAGTACTTAAGAGAACTTTATACAAAAGCACCAATACACATTAAGAAAATAACGCTGGCGTATACATATACGCAGGAATTAAATAACTATATTCTGAGGAAAGTTCAAATTTTTCTGTTTTATGGATTGTGCATTTATCATACATATTAAAGTCACATTGAAGTTTTATTTGGTTTTATGTAGCACCTAATTAAGATTGATTATGAGATAAATTGCCTACTACCTTAAAGTGGTACTACTGCCACTACCATACCATCTGATTTTATTTTGTTTTTCACTGACGTTTGTAAGATGTGTGGTTATGTTATGTATTTAACCTCAAATATTACTTAGTTTTACTAAATTAATATTACCAATAAGTTTCAATATAAATGTGAAAATGGAAGAGCCAAGTGAAAGTCAAGTAAGTCATATGTATTTGGAATAGGTTACTTTTTGAATACATATGGGTTCCCTTCGTAGGGTGTCGTAATATTTGGAAGAGATGTTACTAAAATACCATGCTTCAGAAATAGTTATTTATATGGCATATACAGTGGAGTTGCAGCAGGATTAGTGTATTTTCTCTTTACCAGTCGGCCTAGAATAGCTACTCGTGTTGGAGTTGGAACTTTTGCTACAGTTAACATGTCTTATTGGTTTTGGTGTAGATACAATTACTCGAAAACAAAATTTGAAATGTTACGTGTTCGAGAGTTACTTCGACAGCATGCTTTACGTGAAGGAACAGAAGAAGAAAAAATAATAGATGCTGAGTTAAATTTGAAGACTGTATAAATATTCTTATCCATAGTAGTAAACTGTGAAGTTCATTGTATATATTTATTAGTTGTTTTATGGCAATAAAATCTTATTTAATCAAATTATTATATGGCAGTATTATTTACCGAATTTTGAAACTTCATTGAAAACCGCATCAAAATTAATACAAAGATTTTCCAATTTGGAAGCTCTAAATTTTGCTTTTTACAATCGTTTGAGGCAATTTAAATTTGTACCATATAAACGAGGTAGGGCGACACGTATTACGATGAAAATTGTTTTCGGGAAAACGAAGGAAATAATTCATAATGTCGGATTCTTTTTAAATTTGGGCGCGCTAAATTTGGCTCCTTACAGTGGTTTAGGTCAATTTAAATTTGTATTATATAAACGCTGCAGGGTATTTTGTAAGGTGGCATATGTTTCGACAAAAATGTGTTTTTGCGAAAACACTAGGAAATAATTCATAATTTCGGGTCCTTTTCAAATTTGGATTCACAATATTTCGCTCTTAACAATGGTTTGAGCCAATTTAAATTTGTATTATGTAAACGCAGCAGGGTGTGTTGTAAGGTGGCATATGTTTGGACGAAAATATGTTTTTGCAAAAACACGAGGAAATAATTCATAATTTTGGGTCTTTTTCAAACATGGGCGCACAATATTTCGCTCTTTACAGTGGTTTGAGCCAATTTAAATTTGTATTATGTAAACACAGCAGGGTGTGTTGTAAGGTGGCATATGTTTGGATGAAAATGTGTTTTTGCGAAAAAATTAGGAAATAATTTATAATTTTGGGTCCTTTTCAAAATTTGGACGCACAGTATTTCGATCTTTACAGTGGCTTGAGGCAGTCTAAATTTGTTTCATTTAAACGTAGCAGTGTGTCGAAAGGAGACATGTATTTCAACAAAAACGCGATTATGCGAAATAGAATAATATAATTTATAATTTCGGATGCCTTTAACCAACTTTCAAATTTGGATTGTAAAATTTCGCCATTTACAGTGGTCTAAGACAAACTTTTATCATTTATGCGTGGAAGTATGTCGTAAGATATATTTCGACAAAAACATGTTTTTGCGAAGTATAATGATGTGTTTTACAATTTCGGATCCTCTTTATCCAATTTGCACAATTAGACCGCAAAATTTCGCTATTTACGGTGGTTTAAGACAGACCATTTAAATTTATATCATATAAGCGTGGCAGGGTGTTGTAAGGTGACATGTGCTTCTACGAAAAAGTCTTTATGCGAAATCAAAGGAAATTGTTTATAATTTCTGGTTCTCTTTTATCTATCTTCAAACTTGGACGATCAAAATTTTTTTTCATTTGTGTCATTTATGCGTATAAGGTTGTCTTAAGGCAAGGAAAACGTGTTTTTACAAAATTGAAGGAAATAATTCATAATTTCAAAATTTTTCAAATTTAAACGCTCAAATTTTGAGTAGTTTAAGTCAACTTTAATATGTATGATGTATATAAAACATTAAAATATCAAAAAAATTCACATAACTACGGGCGGCTAGTATTATAATAAATTAATCCTAATCGAAACTTTTAATTAAGCTTTGTTTATTTATTCGTTGTAGATCCTTGTCGTGTGCAGGTTATCATTTTGTCTTTAATTTTATCTGCTCTTATTTTGTTATTTACATACGTTCCCACCGTACACAAACCTGCTTTTTTGATGACGTTCAATTGTGCGATAATTTCATAACACAATATCTTGTTAAAAATTTTAATGATAAAAATAATTATATAAACGTAGTAACAGCGTGTTGATATCACTATTTCGTTATAACTGTGCGCAACAGTCGGGAAAAATACTGAATGAATTATACATCGCGCTTTAATTAATTAAAAAGGTGTTTGAGTGGGTATTGTGAAGGAATTAATTAATTAATGTATGTCTGTTGAACACGAAAACGATGATTCCAAAGGATTCTTCTGTGCTTGTTTTTTTCGTAAATGGAAAAAAGGTTCGTATCGGAAAAACACTAAGTATGATAAAATGCTTATTTGTGAGAAACTGTTTTCTGAAGTACTATGGTCTAACATTATTCTCTTTATTAACACTGTTTATTGCTTAAACTGCGTTGTAAAGTATCTATTTTCAAAACTTAACTATATCCATATTTTAATTGTAATATTACAAAAAAAAACGCCGATTTTTATTGATCCAAACTTGATCTTTAAAGGCTTAACGAAAATTGTAGTCCTTGTCAAATAAAATGTAAAAACTTTGCAAACATTAAATTGGCATTAAAATAAAAAAAAATGAAAATAATTCTAATTCAGACTCTTTTTCAAGCAGTTGAGATAAAATTGTACATATATTATGATGTGAGCAAGTGTATTTTACATGGATCCCCTGCAACCTTTGTTTATGTATAATTTTGCAATAATTTTGTTTACAATTGATAATTTATTAGCAAAAAAACAGTGTTAAAAGGCTACAGAAACTATGCGAAATAGATTACAACAATATGTTTTTAGATTGTAGAACGAAACGTAGATCCAGAATGGACCCTTTTATTTTATTTAAGAACAAAGCGTATCCTTATTAATAAATTATTTTACGTAAGTAAATAAAACATTTGAATATTTCATTCACTCTTTTGCGTTATTATTTAGTAAATGTACAAAATTTGTAAACTTGGAGCTTTCAAAATTTTGGCGACCGATTCAGGTATTTTATATAGCAAAAGCTGTTGCGTATTGAATATTCCTTAATTATTATTGTTAGTGCGTTTATGTGGCACAAAGTTAGGGTGTGCTGAGGGAGGATGCGGCGCTTGCACTGTTATGGTGTCCAAATATGATCGCCAGGAAGAAAGAATTAAGTATCCTTCTAAACACAGATTAAACATAAAATAGAGAAGATCAGTTAATATAAAAATAAGTAACAATAACAATACATTTCATTTAATTACTAGGTATTATTAAAAAATAGTGTTTTAACAAAGTAAATTTCCAATTTTATATCAAAAATTCCTCTTGACAATTGGGGCCTTTACTACATGATCGAATAGAAATATATATAAAGGATTAATTGTGTGTAGTCGATTTTATAACAAACTTTAAACGTTACTTAATTGTAATCCTGAATTTCAAATTTTCTTTAACTAAAAAGACATTTGGCTGTAAATGCCTGTTTAACGCCAGTGTGCTCAATGCATGGTTTAGCTGTTACAACAGTGGAAGGTATCGGATCGACAAAAACAAAGCTCCATCCTGTTCAAGAGAGATTAGCGAAAGCTCATGGATCTCAATGCGGATTCTGTACTCCAGGAATTGTTATGTCGATGTACACCCTATTAAGAAATCAGCCGAAACCATCCATGAAAGATATGGAAATAGCATTTCAAGGAAATCTCTGTCGATGTACGGGATACAGGGCTATAATCGAAGGATATAAAACATTTACGGAAGATTGGGAATTGTTACAACGAAGAAACGCAGCCGGAAGAAATAGTGAACTAAACGGCCTTTGTGAAATGGGAGATCAGTGCTGTCGAAATAAAACGAATATTGATAAAAATGAAGACGAAGAAGAAACGTTGTTATTTAAACCAAATGAATTTGCACCCTACGATCCTTCTCAGGAACCCATTTTCCCACCAGAATTAAAAATATCTGACACATTAGACACAGAAAATCTCATATTTAAAGGCCCAAACGTTAGCTGGTATAGACCCACAAACTTGGAAGAAGTCCTTCGTCTAAAACAAAAATACCCAGACGCTAAAATCGTAGTTGGAAATACCGAAGTAGGAGTAGAAGTTAAATTCAAACGTCTCCTTTATCCCGTCATAATACAACCGACAATAGTTCCAGAAATGCTAATAAAAGAAGTAAATAAAGTCGGAGTAAGAATAGGAGCCAGTGTCACTTTACTAGAAATGGGTTACTATCTTGAAAACCAAATTAGCAATCTTCCAAATTACAAGACGCGAATCTTTAGAGAAATCGTTCAAATGCTTCATTACTTTGCCGGGAAGCAAATAAGAAGTGTGGCAGCGGTAGGGGGGAATATAATGACAGGAAGTCCTATTTCAGATCTAAACCCAATTTTTATGGCTGCAGCTATTAAATTAGAATTAAAAAGTTTAGACGGAGGCCATCGTGAGGTACTTTTAGATGAACACTTTTTCACAGGTTACAGAAGAAATGTAGTAAAAAACAACGAAATACTCATTGCAATAAATATACCATTTACTGAAAAGTTTCAATATTTTCATGCTTATAAACAAGCAAGAAGAAGAGACGATGATATCGCCATTGTAAATTCTGCAGTTAATGTAACGTTCGAATCGGAAACAGATAAGATACAAACCATAAGACTGGCTTTCGGTGGAATGGCCCCAGTAACAACAGTACCTGTTAAAACATGCCGGAAACTTATTGGTCTAAACTGGAACGATGCAACTTTAGATACTGCATTAGATGCATTGGCAGAAGATATGCCATTAGTCCCCTCAGTTCCTGGTGGTATGGTTCAGTACAGAAGATCATTAACTTTGAGTTTTTTCTTTCGAGCTTTTATGAAGATTCGCAAAGAATTAAACGACCAACTAGGGAAAAACAGTTTACGAAAAGAAGATCTCAGTGCTCTAGACGGTTTCCATGCCAAACCCATAAAAAGTGCTCAGTATTTTAAAGTATCTCCAAAAGATAACACCTTCGACACAGTTAGTCGTCCAATTGTACATGCATCAGCTTTCAAGCAAGCTTCAGGAGAAGCTGTGTATTGTGACGACATTCCCAGCTTGGAAGGAGAGTTGTACATGGGTTTGGTTTTAAGTACAAAAGCTCATGCCAACATTAAATCGATAGATCCTTCTATAGCATTGGCGACGAAAGGAGTTCACTCATTTTTTTCAGCCGAAGATATCCCAAAAGAGCGCAATAAAATCGGTCCAGTATTTCATGACGAAGAAGTGTTTATAAGCAAGAAAGTAACCGCACAGGGACAGTTGATTGGAATTGTTTTGGCCAACGATCAGACAACTGCCCAAAGGGCCGCCAAAAGCGTCAAGGTAGAATACGAAGAACTACAGCCAATCATCGTATCAATCGAAGACGCCATAAAACACAAATCATTTTTTCCAATTACTAGAAAGTTTGAGAAAGGTAACGTGGATGCTGTTTTTAAAACTGCACCCAATATTATTGAGGGCGAATGTAGGACTGGAGGACAGGAGCACTTTTATCTTGAAACTAATGCTGTGTTAGCTATTCCTAAAAATGAAGACGATGAAATAGAAATATATTCGTCTACTCAGCATCCCGCAGAAGTAAATGTAAGTCTCATATCTAAGCGTAGATATTCTCGGCTGCTGTTTATTTGATCATTAATTTTCCGGATCTTATCTCAAATATTTAAGAATAGTGAAATTTCACAGTTAATTGTTTACGCTGCGCCAGTTTATCTAAAACAAAAGAAAGATGGTAAAATATTAGTGTTGCCCAAACGCAAGAACAAGACGAGACTTAGCCAGTCTTGGTCTTGGTCTTGCGCCAATACACCTGGTCTTGGTCTTGGTCTTGGTCTTGGTCTTGGTCTTGCGCTCCCAGTCTTGGTCTTGGTCTTGGTCTTGCAGCAAGAGTCTTGCAAGTCTTGCAATTACCTATTAGTCTATTACTATTTATTAAAGTTTACTTTAAATCCTAGAAAAACGTATTAGAATTGGAACATTGTGAGCTTGAATGAATATAGCCATAGTAAAGATCAAGCAGATTAATAAATAACTGAAGATTTGATAAGAAATTCGAAAAATCAACTGACCTATATGTCGTTTTCCATGGAAGTAACTGTTTCTTAATAAACATTTATGATCCTTGCTTTCTACCGCGCCGCCTCGCCACGTGCCGGCTCTATGATAAGGATGCCGCCGCAAATCAAACAATAATATAAAGCGTGTAAAAAAATTCGAAATTATTTTGCATGAGTATACCTACACCCTATGGCGGCAATCAAATAGTGTCAAATGTTATGATTTCGGCGTGGCGGCAACGATTGTTTTAGATTTCAAAAGAAGCCGCCGGCGCGTGTATCATAACCATGTACTTCCGAAAAGCGGCAAATTTCTTTGAGAAGTAAGTACAAAACCTTTGATGCCGCATTATCAAAGTGCCG